TTTCAAAAATCGTCTAGAGGTCAAACTTGAACGAGGTCTAGTGTCACACATCTTCTACTAAAATCCATTTTTTTAGAACCAAATAATATTTTATAAGGTAGAGGTTCAAGATGACGAGGACCTTTAAAACATGTTTTCTACTCATGAGTATTCTGGATACGACTCAATTGAGTTATACATTATGCTCCAAGAGCCTCAACTTTCACAACCAACTCAATCATAAGTGATTGATCTCATCGAAGACGAACAAGCTGAAGTAGACGTTGTTGACGAAGAAGAGGAAGATGAAGAGTTAGAGTTTGACAACATGGTCAACGATGATTCCGAAGACGATGCACTACCTGAAGTACCTTCAAATGATATCTAAGCACCACCTTCCTTTAACATGGGTAGAGATGAACCGTCATCAGATGTTTTCTTCAACCCGTATATGCAGTTAGATGAAAAATTAAAAGAGAAAGACAAATTTCGTTCAAAAGAAGATTGTGTGCGAGCTATAAAAAAGTTTCACATGATAAACTTTATCGATTTTAAGGTGGATCGAGTAAATCTAGATAGGTAAAAAATTAAGTGTGTCCATCCATATTATATGTTCAGACTCACCGCATCATACAAGATGAGAAGTGATTGCTGGGTGATAGGTTCTATATCCATCCACACTTGCGTTAATTCTACTCAATCAGAAGATCATCGTAAACTAAATTGTGATCTAATATGTCAAGAAATCTTACCTCTCATCAACAATAATCTGTCATTGAAGGTGAAAATCATAATATCTCACATCATTACAATATACAATTATACTCCGTCATACAGAAATGCATGGTTAACAAAGACCAAGGCGATTGAAAAAGTATATGAAAACTGGGAGGAGTCATACAAAGAACTATTGCGTCACCTGCATGCACTTCGAATGTATGCTCCTAGAACTGTTTATATTATGGAAATATTGCATGCGTATGCCCCAGATGATACTTATGTCAACGACAATGGAATATTCAGTAGAATTTTCTAGGCTTTTCAACCTTGCATCACAGGGTTTGCATCATGCAAACCTATTATTCAGATAGATGGAATGTGGTTGTATGGGAAATGCAAAGGCACGCTACTGATGGCAGTTGCACAAGATGGCAATAATAATATTTTCCCAATTGCCTTTGCTCTAGTCGAGGGAGAGATTGGTGGTGCTTGGAGTTTCTTTCTCAAGAATTTCCGAACACACATGGCTCCGCAACCTGGTCTCTGCTTGATCTCTGACAGACATGCTTCTATTGAGAGTGCATACAATAATCCGGCAAATGGTTGGAATAACCCCCCTTCTACGCATATCTACTACATTAGACATATTGTACAAAATTTTATGTGGGAGATCAAAGACAGGGGTCTTCAGAAAACAGTTATGAACGTGGAGTATGCATTAACACAACCTTCGTTCAAACACTATCGCAACGAGATCATATTGTCAAACCCGAATGCATGTAGATGGGTTGATAATATTCTAGGGGAGAAATGGATGAGGTCATACGACAATGGACAATGATGGGAACACATGACAACAAATCTCACTGGATCAATGAACGGTGTATTCAAAGGCATGTGAAACCTCTCAATAACCGCTTTGGTGAAATAAACATATTTTAGGATGGCTTTGTTGTTTGCAAAAAGAGGTGAAATATGGAACGCGGTGTTACAATCGAGATAACTATGGAGTGAAAGCTGCAAGAAATTTATTAAGACAGAAAGTGCCAAAGACAACACTCATCTTGTTACAAGGTTCAACAAACATAACCACAACTTCATTGTCAAAGAGACAATCGACCACAACGAGGGGCTGCTAAGACAAAAGTATAGGGTTATACTACCATCTCGTTGGTGCGTTTGTGGAAAGTTTCAAGCCTTTTGTATGCTTTGCTCTCACGTCATTGCGACATGTACGTATGCTTATCAAGATGCATTACTACTTCTATCTCCCATTTACAAGGCTGAGACCTTGCTCAGCGTATACAACAATGACTTTCCAGTGGTAGCGAAATCAGACTATTGGCCTGCGTACGAGGGGAAATAGTTTGACACAATGATCAAATCCGAAGGAATAAAAATGGTCGTCCCAAAAGCAAGCGTATCACAACTGAAATGGACTCCCTTGACAAGCTAGAAAGAAATTGTGGTTTGTGTCGTCATGTAGAACACAATCAAAATTCTCACTCATGCTACTAGCTCTACGGCATAAATATCGTATGCAAACTATCTGCACTTTATAAAGATCTAAACGAAACTTTCTTTCATTAAGAGTATTTGTTACAACAAATCATACGCAAACAACAAATAAAAACACATCACGACTAAAACAACAACAAATACAACACGTAAATATAACATCAATAACACGATAAAATATCTAAGAAATTACAACCGTCAAAACAATTTCATCGAATTCGTGCATCATCACCATTACGTCTATGTCTGTTTTAACTTATTCCAACCAAATGAGGTCTTCCAGTTGCAAGTGAGGTGGATGTTCTTCTTCTTTGGATCCTTCTAATTTATTCCCCAACTACGATGTCTCCGTCTAACCATCGCATCAACTCTCTTTTCATTTTTTTCATGGAACGAATGTGTCAAAATTTCATTTTCATCGGAGGTTTGGTGGCCGAGAAAATAATATACCAGTCTCTGGTGAAAATCATGGGAGATGTCATGATATAGAAAAACAGAGAGAAAATGAAAAGAGAATGTGAGAAAATGTAAAGAATGATGAGAAATAAATGTTTAATTTATAGAAAAAACACTTGCATGTATAAGTCATCTCAGATGACGCATCCTCCCTAATTTATAAAGTATGCGCCATCTCACATAACATAAAATATGTGTAGACGTCAAGTGAGATGACACCTAAGACCAAAACTCCAGTGCATACACCATCTGAATCTGAAATGACTATTGTATTACAACGTTTTCCAAAATATAATTATTTACGTCCTTTTCTCTAAAACATAATTATTTATATTTTTTCAAAATATGCTTACTAAAAAAAATTCGCTGCACTTCATCTCTCAAATTATGCAAAAGAACAAACAATTTTTTTTAATACTATTTCACCAATATTATACTAATTAAGTCAAGCTCATGAGTAATAATGATTCACCTTTTTTTCTTTCTCTTAATTATGTAATTTATTATGATAAACAAATTATTGTGTCATCTTTCCATCATTTTCCTTTAAAAATTCTAGTATTAATTAATTTTTTTGGTCCTATTAAGCTAATTATACCAAATGTTTGTAATAATGATTTAAAAATCAACCCAAGAAACGGTTCAAATAAGTGAATCACAAATCAACATTGTCTACAATTTAATTATTTGAATAATTCAAAACAGTTGAATCATAATCTAGAGTTCTCAATCAATTCAAATTTAAAAATATTGGTTTATTCAATTCAACCCTTGATAAAGTAATTAAGAACTTCAATTAAACATTAGATATAAAATATTTGCAACATCAATGTCTCTAACCTAGTGCAAGAAATTTAACAAAGGGTCCATTATGCAATTAAGCATTTGAAGAGAATAAATTTACACAATCAAAGACCACTTAACATATATGGTTAGTTTTCTCAACTAAACAACGGCATAATAAAACTTTCATTCTTTGCTGCTTTATCAAACTCATCCATCACCTGTAATCACCATACAAAGGGATTTAGATATTGAACGATTCTTTTAAATTATAGTTCAATTGATTAAGTATAATCGAATCAGATGATAAATAAATAAAAGAGTATTATGATTAAATAAATTCAATCGAATTTAATTTAACTAGGATAAATTAAAAATCAAATAAACCGGCAAAATGACCGATTCTTGGTTTAATTGTTTGAACCAATCGACTCGCCTTGATTTTCAAAATATTGCTTTAACTCTCAATGTTCTTTCATTTCTTTACTCAATTGTCACATGTTTCCATCTTAATTTTTTCTTTTCTTTCATTCTTGTAACAAATGTGCAACCCTAGACAAACATATAGTAAGGAATAGGTTTCTAAATGAAGCAAAATAAGTTAGGAATGATAAGCAAGATGTGACATTAAACAAAATTGATGTTAAGTTAGGTCAAATATTTCCATTTAGGAAATGTAGTAGACAATAAATAAAGTGAGGGACATTGTTGTTTGAGTATATATTTCATTGTAAGAAACAATATTAGTTGTCATTTCCTTCATTAAAGTTGAAGTCAAACCAAATATGAAATAAATGAGATGAAACTAAACATCCCATCAAACAAATGTTGAAGTTAAATGGTGACAACCTATGTGTACAATAAAACTTTCCTACTCCTATGTTGCTAGCTTTTGAATTATTGAAATCAATGGCTTGTAGTTGTTGTTTTTTGTAGGGTCTATGTGACTAGTTAGTAGAATAGTAGTATTGAATTATAGCAATGAATGGCCAAAAAATTGTTATAGCTTTGAGAGGTTGAATTCTATGGAAAATGAAAAAATTGATTAATTATTTTATTATTTGATTAACTACTCATTGAATTATTTGATCAAAAAATGTAATCCTCTAAAATGTTTATTACACATATTAAAAATACATATTATATAATGAATTATGGGACACCTCTAGAGTAAGGAATTGATAATTAAAGTGTGGAAATTTATGATGTGGCAGTGGAAATGTCACAATTATGAGGATATAATATAATGGTGGTAGTGGAAATTTATTTGTATACACACACAACACACTCATATAATGGACATCGACAACTGTACAATTCCTGCTTTTTTTTAATATTGTTGTCTGTTGTTTTTCCAAAGTGACATTTTTAAAGTGACTCTCAATCTCCCCTAACTGTTCTTTTACACTTTACTTTTGATACTGTCTTTATTTTGATCTCCATAGTAAAAAGAACAAGTGTAGAAATGTAGTGTACACACAACATTATTTAAGCAATATAACCAAAAGGGTACAAAATGATAGTACCTTATAATCAATCTTGATCTAGCTAGCAGAAGCAGGGTAAGCACCAATTGCAGAAGAACATTCACCATTCTTTCCACTACAATTGTTTCCCAACTGAAGTTCAGAAACACAAGCCATTGGATTTTTTCCATCAACACCATGATCATAGAGAAACCCTTTAAACACATGGCCACTAATATGAACCGTCGCCAAATAAGCAAACTCATCTTCTCCATTTCCAATAGCAGTTACTCTATGGCATTTGAATACAGCAGGTGCATGAACTTGACCTGGTAATGCCTCTTTGAAACTTGCATCTGCAATTCAAATAACCATCACTTCAATAACCATAATTTTTATTGTAACAAGATTTATGGCGAATTTATGCAATTGTATCAATGTGATTTGGTCATTCGGTTTTAGGTTAGGGTTTAATGACCCAAAGTGAAACGGTTTAAACACCGATAAAGAAAAAGTTAATAGCTTAACTAAAAACTATTCTCTCATGATTCATAATCTATATATAGATCATATACATCAGTTATTCAAGAAACTTAAAAAATTAAATATTTGTTTAGATCTAACGATCTAGAATCTCCGCATTTAGGATAATCATGCATTCATACAGTCACACATCCTCACAGAGTATTAAGCCTTCAATCAAAATTAGAAAATTTTCGCTCAAACTTCAACGTCCCAAAACAAGCTCAAAGCCCAGTCAAAAACGTGAACTATTTTATCATGATCAGACAATTCAGATCTCATGCTGTGTGATTGTGTGCCTTCAATCAATCCATCACATTATATATGTGAATGACTTGATCAAGATCGAACAATTCAACCATTGGATCAAGATCAAACAATTCAAATCTCGAGATTCATGATTGCGCGACTTCAATCAATCCATCACATTATATATACAAATTAATGCCCGTCCATAGATAAAATCAAATAAGTCGATCTAAAATACTAGTGTGACATTGGGTATAAAAAAATCAAAGAAAACATATAAAAAGAAAGTTGCAAAGAGAATAAAACTACCTTGATGACAAGAGCTATTAGCAAAACTCTTTGGTGTAGTAGCATTAGAATTGGAACTATGAGAAGTAGCAGCAGCATTTTGTGAAGATCCTAATAAAATCTTGGGTCTCTTAACACCAGAACAACCCTCACCACCACCATCACCACCAACAATCTCCCCTTCCCGATCCCTCCGACGAGTCGAAGGAATCCAAGTACTCTTCAAATGAGTACTACAATCATAACCACGTCCCTTGCAACAAGTCCTACATCTCCTAAAAACACAATCTTTCTTAGCTCTATTCCCACAATCATGACACACTCTATACTCAGAACCATACACACCATTCTCTTCACTCTCCATCATAACCATCTTGTTATTATTATTATTATCATTCTCATCATCATCATTGTTATTATTATCAGTTATCACTTTTTTTGGTTCGGGACACATCCTAAGGTTCCAAAAGTTGTTGTTATTATTTTCTTGAACTTCATTGTTGTGAGATTGGTTTGGTTGTGGTTGTGGCATGCAGGGTGTGGCTGTAAGAAGTGGGAAAATTCCAAAACCGACACTTAAGGAAGCAGATGAATTGTGATCTGATGATATGGGTTGGTTTTGATGATTGTGTTGATGTTGTTGTTGTTGTTGTTGATGATGGTGAAGAGACGAAGGTGATGGAGCAATGAGAACTAGGTCTCTTAGGCCTAACATACTCATTGGAAATGGAACAAGTGTCACGAGTTGTGTGAGATTTTTGAGGTTTCGGAGAAGAAGATCGTTCTTGTCTTGTGGTTTGGTTGATTGATTCTTTTAGTTTATGGAGATTGGTGATTTTTATAGAGGGAATGAGAACAGAACTACCCCTATGTGGTTCTATTCTTTTTATGCATATCTTAAGAGGATATGTTTTGAATTTTGAGAAAAAAAAAGTTACCAAAAAATAAAATATATAAAATATAAGTTGTGATTTATATTAGTTTTATATTTTTAATCATATTTTATATTTGATATCTTATTAAAAATGTAAGTTGATGTTTTTAATAGAGGAGTATTAAAAAATTTAATTTTTATTTAAATTTTAAAAAAAAACTATTTCATCTAAATACTTTTTTATAAATATTCTAGACATGACCGACATTTGTTCCACCGTTAGATAGGTTCAATCCAGCGCTTTTACAAAGGTTCAAAAGCATGCAATTCAAACTGGGGACCGTTGGACATATGTCCATGTGTCCACTAGAAGAGCATGACCCACGTCCACAGCGTCATCATCTTGTTCTCCGAAAATAAAGGGTCCAACTTCTCTACTTTCTTGGGGCAGTTGACTAGGGAGAAGACCAGGTGCTGGACTCCATACACCCGTAAACCCGAGTAGTCTTCATTATTGGACCTCATCATGGCCCAAACTGAAGACCTTGACCCAACGTTGGAGGCTATATAAACCCTCTCACCCGATCCAGGCTGTAACCCTTGAAAGATTCAACGAAAAATCTAAGTCGATCACCTTCTATCTCGAGGAGTTGTCATGCGGAGCCCCTAACTCCAGCATTCCCCTGCTGGTGAGGGCAAAGATGGCCAACTTTGATGTACATTGCATCCTGATCGACGAGGGGAGTTCGATCAACGTCATGTACACCCACCTATTCTGCACCATGCAGCTCGACGATATCCACCTGTCACCATACGTGGGCTCCGATCTGTAAGGATTTAACGGTCCGACCTCCAAACCACGGGGCTACGTCGAGCTGTTCGTCACATTCGGGGAGGAAACTGAATCCCGACAGGTCAAAATGTGATTTCTGGTGATCAATTGCTTGTCTCTCTACAACTGCATCCTAGGGAGACCAACACTGGCCGAGCTGACCGACATACCCTCAACGGTGCATTTAAAGATGAAGTTCTACACCAAGAGGGACCGCGTCGCCACCATCTATGGAGAAATCTCAGTTGCTAGTAGATGTTTCAACGCGACCTCTAAAGGGAAAGGGAAAAGCATGGTAGACACTGGGGCACGATCTACCATAAGAGCAACCACCTCGACAACAGCAGCTACCTCGACGGATAAACCTACTCGAGTTGAAGAACAACAGGCTCCACCAAAGGCCGACTCTATTAACCTCGACACCCGTTTTGACAAAGATGAAGTCGAGGCCCCCAATGGTGAACAGGATCCTTTCCGATCCGTCCCAGACGGAGACTTCGAGTTCATTCCCCTCGATGAAGACTCGAACAAAGGCGTAAAGTTCGGTGTTGGACTCCCCGACCTGGTGAGGAAGCAACTCAAAGCCTACTTGAGAGAGAATGCTGACCTGTTCTCGTGGAGCGCTGCGGAGATGTCCGGACTCGTCCCTAAGGTCGCCTGTCACCAACTTGTTGTGGATCCAACTGCTAGGGCAGTAGTACAACATAGACATAGGCAGTCTCTTGAAAAAGCGGAGGTTGCTTAAAAAAGTTGTAAAAGACCTTCTAGAGGCAAATTTTATTTGAGGCCCGGTATTCAACTTGGCTCTCAAACGTTGTTTTTGTTAAGAAAAATAATGGAAAATAGCGCATGTGTGTTGACTATACTGATCTCCTTTTCCTAATATCGACATGCTGGTCGACTATAAAATTTTATCATTTATGGACGCTTACTCAGGCTATAATCAAATCCCCATGGCGATGAGCGATAAACATTACACTTCTTTCATGATCGGGTCGAGCAATTACTACTACAACGTAATGCCCTTCAGCCTAAAAAACACAGGGGCGACGTACCAGCAGATGATGAACAAAGTCTTTCGCAGTGAGATCGAGGACATACTCGAGGTATACATGGATGACATGATCATCAAGTCCCGAGCAGAAACCGACCATGTTGTCCACCTCAAAAGATTTTTCGACCAGGAAATGCGATGCAAGATGAGGTTTAACCCAGATAAGTGCATCTTCAGAGTCAAGGAGGGCAAATTACTCGATTTCTATCTAACCGAACGAAGAATTAAAGCAAATCCCAAAAATGTAGGGCTTTCTCCGAGCTCTCCACTCCTAACTCAAACAAATCCATACAAGTCTTGAATGACATGATCACCTTGCTATCCCGCTTCATGGCAAAATTTGTGCAACACGCACTTCATTTTTCAAGCTCTTGCGTAAAGAGGCGGCTTTCGAGTGGACCAATGAATACGAGCAAGCCCTCCTCCACCTCAAGCGAGCCCTTTCACAACCGCACGTGTTATCACAGACAGAAAATGGGGAAACTTTGTTCCTTTATTTGGCCGTCTCCACCGAGGCTATAAGTGCAACTCTCATCCGCAGAACACCAGACTGGCAGAAACCGGTGTACTTTACTAGCAAAGCATTGCAAGGCCCCAAGGTCAGGTATCAACAAATTGAAAAGGTAGCTTTGGCACTCATCAATGCGGAGAGGAGACTTAGATATTACTTCCTAGCCCACACAATCATCGTGCGAACATATTAACTTGTAAGACAACTCATAGGGCGACCAGACATGGCTGGCTGAATGCTGAAATGGTCCCTAGAGTTGTCGGAGTTTGACGTTCAATACGAAATCAGGAAAGCCCTTAAAGCCCAAGAATTGGCCGACTTCGTTGCAGAGATGACCACCCTCGAACCTCATGCGGGTGGGAAACACAAGTGGACCATCTTCGCAGACGGAGCATCCAGCTCGACGGGAAGCGAAGCGGGAATCCTCCTTGAAAATGACGAGGGCGTTATGGTCGAAAATTCGCTCGCCCTGTCGTTTACCATGTCTAACAACCAGGCCGAGTACGAGGCCTTGATCGGGAGATTAAGGCTGGAATAAGAACTAGGTGCCTGAGAAGTACAAGTATTCACGGACTCCCATCTCGTCGCATCTCAAGTTCGAGGAGAATATCAAGCCAAGAATGATAGCCTTATCGAATACCTGAACCTAGTTAAAGAAAGGATGAAGAAGTTCGACAGGAGAAAATCAAACACGTACCCCGCGAACAGAACACGCGGGTCGAGATACTCTCAAAACTCGCGAGCACAAAGAAAAAAGGTGGGAACAAATTCGTTATCCAAGAATCCCTTTTCGTCCGAGTATTGAAAACTCCACTGTATCGCCTGAGGTGAACGCCATCGGGGACAATTCGTGTTAGATGACCCCAGTATTTAATTATCTCACAAAGGGAGAGTTACCCTCTGGCCAAAAAGAGGCCAATGCGACCAAACAACGAGCTTGCTCTTACGTAGTAGTCGAGCAGAAGCTCTATTGATGGGGATTCTCCATCCCACTCTTGAAATGCGTCGAGGAGTCCAAAATCCCCGAGATCTTACGGGAAATCCACAAGAGAATCAACGCCTAACACTTGGGTGGAAGATATCTGGCACGAAAGGTACTACGGGAAAAGTATTACTGGCCCACCATGCAGCAAGACCCGAAGGAGCACATCAAAAAATACGACAAATGTCAAAGACACGCAGACATGCACCTCGCATTGCCACATGAAATCAAAATATTATTGTCCCCGTGGTCGTTCTCCTGGTATGGATGGACATCCTGGACCGTTCATACAAGGATCATATCAAAATAAATTTCTAATCGTGGTCGTCGAGTATTTCACAAAATGGATAAAGGTCGAAGCCCTGGCCAAAATCACATCACACAATATCCTTTATTTCTACAAATGAAACATGATTTCCCGATTTGGCATACCGCAAGCGCTCATCACCGATAACTGGACACAATTCACTGACCGAAGCTTCCAAGAGTTCGTTGCCAAGCTCGACACCAAACAACACTTCACGTCTGTCGAACACCCTTAAACCAACAGGCAAGTTGAGGCCGCAAATAGAGTTATTTTACGAGTACTGAAGTGCAGGTTAGGAGAAGCCAAAAGGGGTGGGTCGAAGAGTTGTACAACGTCCTATAGGCTTATCGAACGACACCACACTTGATGATTGGTGAAACCCCATTTCGACTAACCTATGGCACCGAAGCAGTCATCCCCGTGGAAATCATGGAGCCATCCAGACGAACTGAAGTCCCTTTAGACGAGGAACTAAATGACGAGGCCCTAATGGAAGAGCTCGACCTGGTCGAAGAAATCTGATCAGGAGCAACTCTTCGTGAAGCCACACTGAAACAAAAGATAACCATGCGTTATGACACCAAAGTCATAAAATGAAAATTCCAGGTCGGCAGCCTAGTCTTGTGGAGAAATCAGAAAGATTTTCGTGAAGGAAAGATGGCTGCCAACTGGGAAGGACATTACCGCGTTCGCGGGGCAACGGGAACTGGAGCCTACCACCTCAAACGCTTGAGTGGAGAACCACTACCTCGACCACGGATTACTACAAAGCTGAAACAATATTACAACTAAGTCCTAGATGAGCGTCGAGGCTTAGCAGTCAACGTACCCTCTCCAATAGACGACAAGGCTCGCTCGACCACAGAAGCATGTTGAGGTACGAACATGGCCTCCAACAAGTAACAAAAGGTGGGTTTTTGCTCATTGGTCGAGCAGAACCTTAGCCCGATGGGGACACCTCGATTGAGCTCCATCGTCGAAGTACCCAATAGCCAGAACACACAGCTCGTGATGGGAAGTTCATGCCACGAAGTCAAGACCCCGACCGCGATCTTGACCTCGTCTGTACAAACTCCTACTTCAATTCCTCGACACATCCCAACATGCGTTGACCACAACTAAGGTCGAGCACAAACCTCCACTTATCAAAATTCCACATTT